ACACCATGAGCATCTCCCCTTACCATTCCTCCCCAGAGTGCACACTGGTGGCAGATACACTTCTTGCAGGTCCAGCAGAAAACACTGAGCTTCTCATGATGGTTTTCACACCTTAAATCAAAAAATACATATCAGCAATTTTCTACAGACTCAGCTAAACATTTCCACTTGTTTTGCTACACAATCCTGCAAGCAAAGCATTAAACATCTTTTGCAGGAATAGCAGTTGTAGTCAATAAAAACCTTTTGTAAAATAAATGTTGCTTTTAGTATTCTCTCCAGAAACACTTCACAGATACAGAGAGTACATTACTAAAATTAGCTCCTATAACCCAAACCACAAAACACTTGATGCAAAGAACACTCAATTTACTTGTCCTTTTCATTCTCTTCGTGCTTTGTGAGGCTGCAGAGCTGAAGTGTGTCCAGCTGCTGTGTGACCTCCTCTGCCCAGCGACAGTTGACAAGCTCTCGGAGCTGCAGGGGGGCTCTGCAAGAAGGATGGCACAGTTTGAGCAGAAATTTGGCTCCAGGAGCAAAAGGAGAAGCACTGAAGTGAGTTCAGTTCAATTCTACATTACCAGAAGAGTCACAGGTGAAAAAGAGCAGAAACTGGACTAGTAATTCCAAGAGAAAAAAATAAAACATTAAGTAAATTTGATCATCTGGGGAGAGGTGGGAACTGCAGCCTGCAATGATATACAGAATGGCTGCACAGGCACATCACATGAATTGTAGCCATAAAAAATTGACACTTTCCCCCTGAAAACTGAAGCTCCTGGGCTCTGACTTTTGAAAGAAGAATAAAAAGAGGAATTTCCTCTAGTTACTCCTGTTACACCAGCAGTGTTATGTGGGAAGAACAAAGATCCTGCTTAGCTTCTCACAAAAGCAGAACGCATTTTAGAAGAATTATTATACCAGGACCAATTTTTATGAAACAGCAGGCAGGTCTGAAAAAAATTTAAAGCTTATAAATTTAGTGCAACCTGCACTGAAAAAGAGATTGATCATAACAGGACAATCCACCCAATTCCTGATATTAAAAATACCTTACCTACAATGAGGGCACTGAGCTCTTTGTTCAGTCAGCCAACGCTGTGATGGAAAAAGGAGAAGCCTTTTTAAACAGACTGGAATGAAAGAACTGCAGGCAAATACATTCTATCATTAATTAGGAGTTGCTTTACTTTTATTACAGCTTTCCTATATGTTTTCCCTGTTAAGCAAATTTTCAATTTAACTGTTCAACCACTTAGTCACAGAAGTAGCTGCTATTTGTGTCTTAGTAACAAGCAACCACTTGTCTTTAGATGTCAGAGATGCTTCAGTTAAAATTATACAGAGAATTTTGAGGTACCAAATATTGCATTAGAAACCACCCACCTGGCAGATTCCCAGAGTCTTAGACTAAAGAGCATGTTTCAATAAAGGAAAGAAAAAGACACCACAAGCATCTTTTTCAGAGTCTAATTAGTCTTTGAGGTAATTTATTTCTTCCTCTTGAGTTATTTATAGATAAATTAAATACCTGAAGTTCAGTGATCAAATCCACAAGGAGCTTGTGAATTCTTCTCTTCCAGAAAGCTCCAGGGACAAACAGCTGAGCAAAGAACTTCACCTGCCCACTACAACTCACAACTGTAAAAGCTCAGCAGTTGATGGGTTTATATTTGTCAGCTCTCTACTACATTTAAAGAGTCTCATGAATAATCTCTCACCACCCAGCAACAATATGTCATCTAAAATCCTCCATATGCAGCACGAATCCTTCACCTACAGCTCTTGTCAGAGCTTCCAGAGCGAAGGATGAATGTCTGTTCTAATTTCTGGAAATACTACTGAGGTCTGGAAACCTCAGCTGAACTTTTTCCTGCTCCAGCAACACAAAACAGCATCTGGATTTGGAATTGGAGCGTGATACGCTGGGAACCACGGCCTCAGGAAAGGAATGAGGATTCAGGTGCTGCCTCAGACTCCCCTGAGAAAGATTTAGCCCCACCTGATCACACCACACCAGCCTGACAGGCATTATAAAACACCTCCAGGATACATGAGGTGATGCTGTGACCTTCCCAGGTGCAAAGTCAGCGTCTGACTTCTGTCCCAACTTTTATCTTCCATACAGGCATCACCAACTCTCAGGAGGTGCTAAAGAAGGGATCATTGTGTGTCTCTTCCTTAAAGCAATTATTCCAGATGGTGCCTATAATTAGCACCACTGAAGGCAATGCACAGCTTGCCTACTTCTTCCTCAGGGGTGTTATAAAAGGTTTGGAAAGGGAAACTAAAGGAGGGGAAAAAAACAAAAAAGGAATCCTTGGAACTCCAGGAAAAGAATGTTTCCATAAGCTCAATCAGTTTGTAGCTCAAACCTTTGAAAGAACAGACTACACCAAGCAAACTCACCCGGATACAGCTGAAACAGCAGAGCTTGGAGCAGTGAGGGCACAGGCGGGCATCCCGCAGCTTCTCCATACAAATAAAACATCGGAACACCTCGGCAATGCTCTGCAAAGGGGGATTAGCACTATTGTTAAACATGCTTCAGACGCACCAGGGCTGCATTTGTTTCCCAGGCACCAAGCCAGGTTTCTGTCCTGCTTCAAACAACACATCTCCGAGGGAGATACAACCTGCGCACCGCAACTCTCCCTCTCAGCTTCTCCTACACTGCACCAGTACCTGTTTTATTACACTATTCCCTTTCTTCAAAGAATACTTTCTGTTTGACCTTCTCTCTTTTGGAACAGGTCTTTCTGTAGCCAAAGGGACTGAGCAGCTGCCAGAAGAAATGGTGTTGTACCTGCAGGCAGTGGACTGGCACTAAAATATTATTAGATCATGGTAAGTGCATGTATGTGTAATATACAAGAGGTGCTGAAATGAATTGGGTATTTCTTTTTTACTTTTATAAGGCTTATATTCTTTTAAGGTCTTATCATTAGCCCCACAATTTCTACACACTCTCTTCCACCCCATTTAATCAATCTTGGGTTGATCAATCCTTTCCAAATGAGAAAGGTATTTTGAAAGCAATGTTTCCATACTGATAATTTTTAATTGATAAGGAAGCTTTACATCCTGTATCATACATGAGTTATAATACTTCTGGAACTTCATCAAGTCCTTCAGGTCAGCTAATTTTTTTCCCCACAGCACTGAGATTGTGAATCAGCACAAAAGCAAGACATCTTCAATTTACAGATACCACAGTATCTCCCACACATTAAAGTCTCCTTTAACAGCTGCAAGCCATTGAAACGCACCATATGCGTTTACAGGAGATCATCGCAGCCGTTCTTTCCCATTCCTCCTCAGCCTGGCTGTGACACAGCCCCCAGCAGGTGTTTGACCCGCCGGTCACAGCCACTTCTGCACCTCCGCGGTGCCAAGGCGGGCTGGGTGTGCGCCAGGTCTCCATCCATCCATCCCTCCATCCCTCGATCCATCCCCCTCCGGAACCGGCAGCCGCCAGCTCATTTCCTACCCCCTCCCCACCTGCTGCCTGCCTGCCCACCCAAGCCAAGCCCCGCAGCGCCGCAGGCTGTTCCCAGCGCCGTTCGCCACCGCTCGGCCTTTTTTCCCCTCCTCACACAAGGCACACGGACCCTCCGAGGGGCTCCGTTAAACCGGGTGGGCGCGGAGGAGCCGCCGCCGCTGCCCCCTCACCGCCCTGAGGGAGCGCGCGCCGCCCGCCCGCCCGCTCACCTCCACGCTCTGCTCGTCCATGGCTGCGGCTCCGCCAGCAGGGCCGGCTGTCCCCGGCCTCCTTGTGCGTGCCCGCGGGTGAGGAGCGGAGGCTCCGGGAGCGGCGTTTCGAGGAGCCGAGCCCGCTCCGGAGGCTCCGCCGCGGCCCCGCGCACCCGCCGGGCCGTGACCGCGGCAGCGCGGCCGCCCCGCCCCGCCCGCGCCGCGCATGCGCGGGGCCGCCCGCAGGGGGCGTGGCCGCGCGAGGGCGGCAGTGCCTGAGGGGAACCGCCGGGGAGAGCTCCGCGCTCGGGTTTTCCTCTATTTTACTTTAATGTTCTTTACTTTTCGTTATTTTTCTCTGTTATTTTTCTTTATTCTTCCTTACCCGCGAGGTTTCAGGAGAGGAGATGGGTTTTTGCACCCTACTGGCAGCTACCTTCAGTTATTATAGCCAGCGTTCACCAATAAATTAAATAAATTAAATAAATTAAATAAATTTAATTAACTAATTCCATAAAACAATTTTATAAATAAAATAACATATATATTATATATATTGTATATAATATAAAATATATAATATATAAAATATATATAATATATAATATATAAAAATAATAATAAAATTTAGAAGTTTAATGCTACTGTTGGTAGCGGCACAGCAAGGATGGAGTCCTCTATTAGACGATCAGTGTGGTTAAAAACTACTAAATCAGTTTGTGAAGCTGATTCATTGCTTGAAATTGATTAATTACTCCTAAAAGGGCGCACATAGCAACAGGCATCATAAAATCAAGTTATCCCTGTTCTTTCCTCTTCAATACCCAACCTGTTTCTCTTCCCATCAAACCCTAAAGCAGCTCATGGATGGGTTCAGAAATCAGCCTTTCCCTCCCTAAGAGCACTAAATTAAATTTCTCTCCGTTGACAGACATAATTCTTCATAAAAAAACCCCACAGAAAACTAATAACAATTCATGTATCTTACCCTCTCAAATTAGGCTGAAATATAACAATATGAATATTTAAAAGAATATTATATATATAGAATGGATAATATAGAAATATTACACATAAGAAAAAAATGTTATGTTTTTCACTGTTAGGGTAGTCAAATAGTGTTACAGAGGTTGTAAATTCTCCATCCTTGGGAATTTTCAGGTGCTGCCCTGAGCTGCACTCCAGGGCTTGGACTGGGCAGTGCCCAGAATTCCCTTCTAACCCTGCCTGGACTGTAAAAAACCCAAGGGAATTCACATCAAAGGGAAATTAATCAGCTCAGGGAGCAGGGTGAGGAATCACACAAATGAAGTATAACAAATCTTTATTTAGGAATGCAAAGACAATTAAGAGGCTTGGATTATTTGCCTTTAAAAGACCCTCAGGAATGCAGCAAGGAAATTGGAAGCATCACATGGCTCACAACATTCCTTAAAAATGCATCAACCATAATCATTTAAACAGGTAAGGTAAAGTGCCAACCTCAGTGTTTTTGAACTCTCCAATTTCAAGTATTATCAACAGAATATTTATACAGAAATACTAATAATTTTCCTGCAGGGGAACTCTTGTTTCAGAGAAATTCTTGCTCCTTAGTAATCCAGGAGCTGGATCAAGATGCTTCTGTGTCAGATTAGTTTTCTTTTAACTCAGCCAATTTTATATTTCCTCGTTTGTCAACTTCTACAATCCCCATTTCTTTCAGGATTTGAATTTTTATGTTAGTGGCTTTCTTAATTATCGTTTTCATCTGTGTAAGACTCAGTGCTGCTCTGTAAGACAAAAACAATTTAGTATAACAGGGATCAAACATCAGCTCTGGCAGAAAAAGGCTAAAAAGCACATGCTGTTTAATCAATGACTTTTGTGAATGCTCTGTAAATCTCAAATTTATCCAGATTACCGCCAACTTTTCTATGCCACTTCAAATCCCAGCAGTCATTTGCTAATCTTAGGGTTAAAAAGACAGAATTCCTGAGTTTAAAACTTCATTTTCTTTGTAACATCAGCCTGTAAGAAACCCCCAGCACTCACCCCAGAGAAGCGGAGGGCAGAGTTTGCAGGTCGTGGTTTAATCTCAGTTTTTTTAGAAATTAAAATATGCATAACTAGCTGCTTTTATTTAACTTGAAAAGGCTGAAATTCTTTGCAGTTTATAAAAATATTTTAATGAATGGCTTTGAGCTTTACCTGTTGTTCTGTACAATGAAATGGTTAAACAACTCCCTGTACAAACAGTTCAAGTCTGCTAACTTAACAGTTCTCCTGATGCTCCTGGGCACTCTCAGAAATGTTTCCTTAGTCAATGGTGTGAACTGGACTTCTGAAAAATTGGAAACAGAAGATATTTGTTAAAAAGAATGGAAACGGAAAATATTTGTTTCTTTAGAAATTGCATCAAAGATAAAAAGTGCTTCCATTAGTGTTTAAAAACACCTCTAAGTGAGACTGAAGAAAGATTTTTCCAGCAAGAGAAAGGAGAGAAAAAGACAATCACTGGATCTGGAGACTGAGTAAAAAATCATGTAATTTGAGATCTGATGAGGATTGACAAATTTGGTCTGTCAATAACCAGCTGGCTTTGTTTTGGTTATTCTGTTTTTTTAAAAACAAACAAAAACCAACTGTGAAAATTCTTTTCTATAAGCAGGGATAAATGAATTTTAAAAGAGCTATTTCTATGGTAAGATTAGTGCACCATTTCTTCCAGAGCTTAAACACAACAAGTTTTCCACTTCAATCCCATTGAAAGCAAGGGAAAAAATCCCAGAAATATGGCAACTATTCCTGGAATGTAACTCAGGGGTCAGGTCCTTCTGGTAAAGTCTAAATTCTTAACATAAAAGCAGTAAATATTGGTGCTTGGGAGGGAAAACAGTGAAGTTACTGCCTATCACAGCCTCTCTGAAAATAAATCAGTGGGAAATTCATTTTTTTTAATCACTTAACTTCAGCTGAGCCAGGGACTGCAGATCCTGAGCAGGATGGCTAAAAATAAATAATAATGTCAGTATTTGCTAGTGTTTTGGCTAGAAATCTTTTTTCACAGTTTCATTTCTGCATGAAATTTAAACTAATTACATTTTACCATTGGATAACCAAGGATCTTGCAGCCACTGAAGTCAACAGCAAAATCTTAGGGATTAAGCACAGTTTAAAATGAAATTAAGTTTAAAATGGATACGGAAAGATTTATGTGCAAGTCAGATGAGCCTCTCCACAGGTTCCATGTAAACCAACTGTGGCAATAAAGGGACACAAAGTGAGGTGTGACAGTGGGAAGTGAGGAGAAGTAGAAAAAGAAAAGGTCAATCAGAGAAACACCCTCTGTTAATCTTCTCTAATATTTTTAATATGAGACCCAGAGCAAACATTTGCTGATAATTATATTGGATAATTACATCTCGAGCTATGGGAGAATATCTGACTTTTTAACAAATATTAATTTAGATCCAAGTTCTACTGCATTGCACTTAGACTAGATCGTTACTCATATCCCAAAATTTAATATTTCACAGGAAATTAAATTTCTCCCCACACTGGTTTGAATCAATGACATCCCTAACTCCCACCCAAATGTTTCTTTATCAAGAAGATCAACAAGAGCAACCAACTGCATTCCCAAGAAACACAAACACATCCAAATTAAAAAATAACAGGAACAAAGTCTTCCATCAAGAGTAATTTCTCCTTTGTGGACCATCTAATTGGAACAATTAGAAAAGCTTAATCTGTACAGGATAAAAATGAAAAGGTTTGTTAAGGAACTTAATTTCATTTCTGAAAAATTATATTCACTTGAGAAGTATCAAATCACAAAATCAGCCCCTTCTGCAGGAATTAAATGTTTCTGGAATACTGCCATTCCATGCCCTACTTACCTCTTGCACTGGAAATTCCATTTCTTCCCCAAATTGCAAGTTTAACTGGTGGATTGCAGCCTGTTCTTCTGCTGACAGAGGTAAGCTCTGGGAAAATAAGAAAAAGTAAACACAGAGAAGTCTGATCCTTCAGGTCCTGAGGTGATATTTACAGAGGGACTCAATGTTTGTGCAGCCCTTTGCTCAGGGAAACTGACAGTAGACTCCTGATTTCCTTCCACTGAAAACTAATGTACAAGTGTTGCTGAAAAATCAACAATAATCTTCCTCTAGCACCAATACTATAACTTAGTCAAGCAGGAGAAATTTTTCAATTTAAAAAAAAAAAAGGTAGTTCATTTAAAGACTTTTATTTCTCCAGAAGTTTAATCCATCTTTGGCTTACGAAATATAAAAAACTACAAGAAAATAATTACCTAAAGCTCTACATATAACTCAAGAAAAGGGTCTTCCACTTGGAAAAAATCCAAGTACAAAATTATTCTGGGCAGAATATCCTTGAAACACAGTAAGACATGATCTATTTTCTTTCCTGTGCCACATAACCACTGTCTTTTAAATCATGATACAGCCCATTTTGTCTATCAAAAGTTACCAGTAACTGTTGACAGATTAAACCCAATCTCCAGGCACTGTCATTAAAACATTGATCTAAATCACCTCATTTGTAAAGGGTCAAAATTAATCCTTTCACCTCTTCAATAATGAAGCAGCGTTTGAAGACCACTTAAGAAAATGTTACTTGTTGCTGAGTTTGTTAACAATTTAAACATTATCTTAGGGAAAACAGCTTTGGAATAACAGCAATCCCAGGGTGTTTGTTACAATGGTTTAACTTTCTCCCTTTAGACACTGAAAATATATTTGCCATTTAAAAGCTTTTTAGCCTTCTAAAACTGGTTTAAATTTCTATTTTCTTTAAAGTATGTACTTCTAAAACCTGTCAGTGTGGCCCTAGGACACAGTTGTGCACAGAGGTATGGATTCCTATGAAATAACCCAAATTGTATCACTCTATTCACACTCCTCAGCTCCAAATCTGATTTTAACTGCTGGGAATTGGGATTTACAAAAAGAGCTCCAATCCTGCCAGCATTCCTACTGGAAAACTCTGTCTTATCTTCTCAAAATCTGCACAAACAACAAATTCCAGTAGAACCAGGAGTGGCACAGAAAGGTTCCAAAGTTGTGTCCTTTTCCAGCAGTGAAAACAAAGTGATTAAAGTTAAATTAACCACCTCCAGCCCACTTTGTTGCTGTAATGCCCGAGACAACTTCATGGTTTCCTGCAGGGCAGCACGGATGCTCTCCATGGATTCCTTCTGCTCCCGGGAAATTTGTACCATCTGGTCACACAGGGATTTGTAACGGGATTTCACCAAGGAGATCTCCTTCAGGAGAGCAGCTGGGTTCTCCTGTGTGAGTAGAACATTTAAAAAATGATAAAATTCATGTGGCCACACTTCATTTCACAGTGTACATGTTAGGCATTTAACCTGAAATGATCCTTCACAGTGAAAATGTACAGGAGAAAAGGGCTGAATTATAGAATCCTTTACATGATGTCATTTATTGTTTTCCTCTCATCTCTCCCCCAAATCTGAATTTAGTCACTGCTTGTTGGCAAGTTTATCTTGGTTCTCAGAGCAAGGGTGAGTCTTAGCTCAAACTGGAATCTGTAGCCTGAATTTAGGTGTTAACACCACTGATTTCTCAAAGCAGAACATGGGAGAATTTCACTATCCCAAGAAACCAAAGGAGTTTGGTTTGAATTCATATTAGGCAAATTATTTCAATATATTATGCAGGAAATAACAACAACAATAATAATAATAACCTGACAAGTAGATTAAAGAACAGCCACATATATTTCACGTTTAAAGAAAAATATTCATTTATTACCAACTTCATGCAATAAAATTGAATTTAAACTGAAAACACTACCTCTGCTGTTGCATCATCAGGATGACTATTCGCTATTTCAAACTCCAGTCTGCTCTGAATATAATCCAAATCAGCTTCTGCTTTCTGGAACTAAAATATTTAAGGTCAGGCACAGTATATTAAAACCCAAAAATTGCAGACAAACCCCAACCTGTGTTTCAGGAAAGCAGGAGGCAGCTGCCTCACTTTGAAACGCTCAGAGACCATAAAAGTTTTCAAATTTAATATTTTCAAACATAAAGAGTTCTGTTAGCAAAACTACAACACTCAGTTATTTACACAGATTATGAGTAAATTCAAGATCTAAGAGTATCATCAGAGCTTTTATTAATAATCATATTAGGGATGTGTTCTTTCAGATGGTTTTATTGTCCACAATACATTTCATTATTCCCCAATAAACCAGACTATCAGCTCATTAAATTGATGACATCACTTTTCTTTCCCTGGGATAAATAAGCCACAAGAGAATTGTCTAATTCCCTTGTAAAACAGTCTGCTGATAGCATTACTACTTAATTAATTTTAGTCTGCAATTTTAAAATCTATTAAAGACTTCCACTTTCAAGAAAGGCAGCTTTCCCAGCTCCCAAGCAACTCATTAACTCTTTGACATAATAATTCAGTGATTTTACAGTCACAGAAGAGACAATGATGAAAGCAAGTTAAAAATAAAAATGGTTGTGACTTCCTTAAGTTGCTTTTCACTGTTTATTTGGAGATTAATCCCAAAGTGACCATTCCTGGGTTTTCTAAAGGATCAAAGCAAGGCTGTATTTGTTATAAATACCCACAGTCTGTGGTCAGGCTGGGAGTCCAAAAGGATATTTATGTTTTGAACATCAGCCTGAAGGAATGGCCATTAATGCCTTTGGGGGTGTGGAAATTCAGCCTGAAGGAACAGGATTTGATGCAGGACACTCTCCAATAAAAGCCTCTTTTTGAGGGAGTGATGGATGATGTTTCACACACCTCCAGCACTGTGGGTCTCAGATTCAGTCAAAGACAGAAACAGAGAGTTTCTAACCAGGCAGAAGCCTGGGAAAAGAGCTGGAGAAGAATGTAAATAATTCTTTATCTCTCTTGTTGTTCACATTGTTTATAGTGAAGTTCTATCACTGTGCATCAAGCACTTTGCACCAGTGGTGTGGGTTGTTTTCAGAACCAATGGAGTTGGTCCTCACAAGCTCTGTATAAAAGAGAGGTGTATTTTGAATAAATTGGAGTTTTACTCTCAGTTGTTTTTCCATTGGTCCAATGGAATTGGTCCTCATGGAGCTCTGTATAAAGAGTGGTATATTTTGAATAAATCAGAGTTTTAATCTCAGGTTTTTTTCCATTGGTCCTCACACAGCTCTGTATAAAAGAGAGGTGTATTTTGAATAAATCGGAGTTTTACTCTGTTTTTTTTTCCATTGGTCCTGAAGTGGAAACAACCCACACCGTTGGTGCAGAGTGCTTGATGCACACTGATAGAACTTCACTATAAACAATGTGAACAAGCGAAATAAAGAATTATATACATTCTTTTCCAACTCTTTCCTAGGCTTCTGCCTGGCTAGAAACTCTCCGTTTCTGTCTTTGAATGAATCTGAGACCCACACAGCACATTTTCAAATAATAGCTTAAGAAAAGGAAAATAAATCTAGTGAAGAGCTTGAAAATCTATAAATCAAGGGGAAAGCTTTCACCCAGTGCTGCCATAACTCACCATCTGCCCAGCAAAACTCCTTCCCACACCTGCCCCAGAAACCAGCCAGGACAAAATCCAAGAATAAAATACTTTTCAGCACACTGTACATTTTTAAAAAGCTCACAAGGGATTTCTTCTCTCACTGCTCAATGGTTTCTGTTCTCCTCCACTAAGAAATATTTGTAGATTTTCCTTTCCACGGCAGACACCCCAAAAAGAACATTTTTTTTTTTGCTTTTCTCCAGCTCCTCCATTTGATCAGTTTTTGGGAAAGCAGACAACAAAAGCTGCTTTCAAAATGAGCCATTAAATATTCCATACTGATAATTTGAGATTTCCATAAGCAGGTAACTAACATACCATGATTCAGAACATTAAAAGCTAAATGTGGCCAGAATTTTAAGCTTTGTGAAGACATTAACACAGTTCATTATGACTGCTTTCATTTTATAAATATTTACTTCTTGCTGCATTTCATGAAACATCCACCTGCAAAAATCCCCCCTTAATATTCTAACTCAGAAGCATTTATAGGAAGATTAGTTTACAAGAAAACACACAGAAAATGCAGGGTTTGATGTGTAAATTTGTAATTTACTCACAGGTTTAGAAGAAAATGTTAGAACCTGAGTGAGGCCAGTGCTGAGGGCTCTGCTCTCAGATGCTTTGACAATACTATTGCACTGCTCTCTGTATAGTACAGTAGTGCAATAAAGTCAGAGCACTCGTTAGCAGCAACAATTCTGGGCAACAATCAATCATACACTCACCAAAAAAAGGGAAAAAACCACCACATATCAACTCAGCCAGAGGTTTCTGTGGATGGTGAAGAGCTGGATAAGGTTAAAGCTCACCAAGTCCTAACACACACACACAAAAACTCACATTATGATTATGATTATTATTATTATTATTCAGAATCTGCCATTCCACTGATCATGAGGGAGGAAAAAAAAGTCCAGCCACCCAACAAAATGCTCAACAGATCTGCCAGAAATTCAATTTCAAACTATTTGGTGCTTTCTGAACTGGAAATTCCATTTCCAAGTGTATTTATTGCTTGGATTTGCCTTGCAGCCAGTTCAGATTCCAAACTGCCATCACACAGATGTTCTTAAACTGCCTTATAGGGAATATCTTCTGCACAGCAGAGTTTATTCTTTATCATTTCCAGTGCTGAATCACAGTAAAATGCACTTAAAACACTCCTTCCCCAGCTCTGGGGATGTCCTGTACCAGTGGGGTGTAAGGGTATATTCCATAAATCCCAGTGATGGTGTGATGGTGGGGATTTTTTCACACAGCAATAACTTCATGTTGAGAGTTTGAGAGTTGGAGAACTCTCAGGGTTTGAAGCTGCTGAGATACTTAAGGAAAAAAAAACCAAAAAAACACCAAGAAATCAAACCTGGGAATGGAGTGGAGAGAGGAGATTTTTGGGGATGCACACAGAGCTGAGTCACCTGGGCCATGTGTAAGATACAGAGATGATGGCATTTGTCATTAAATGACCACTGTTCCTCCTTGGCAAGGCAATAAAATCAGCAAGAAAAAATAAACCCACGGCAATCTCCTGTTCTGTGGTCTCAGACAGTGATTTTGGACTTGTATATTATTAAAAAAAAATACAGAACAATGCAGATTGTATTGCTGGCCAATGCCCTTTTAACATTGCACTGCTTTTTGTGCATCATCACCAGTAGTACAACATAAAAAGGGCACTGGACAGACACCACTCAGGGACAGAGGAGGTGCAGGATCCCAAAAAAACTGTGACAGGAACAAACTGAGCTGCTCTGAATGAAGCACTGCCAGCTTTAGGATCTTTTCCATAATTAATCTAAAACTGTTATGGTGCTCCTGTCACAAAAAAAACATTGATTACCTGGTTGATTTTATGATTTTCATACCCATTGTTCTCTTCAAGCTCCCACTAATTAGTTTGTCCCTGCTTCCACAGGGCCAAAAGGAAGCTTTCCATGAAATTCATGTCAAAAGCTCCAGGGAATAAGAAGTGTTATTTTATCACACTTCTGTGGAGAGAGCTGACTTCACAGGAAATCCAGAACGGGGAAACAACAAAGCAGAAGGAAAAGCAAGAGACTCAAAGCTGTGAGATTATTCTGATTTCCAGAATAAAAGCCCCTGTTAGCTTAAAGGAGGCAAAAATAACCTCTCTATTCACATGTCCTAAAATGAGAATCACTTGAAAGCATGACTTTCAATAAAACACAGGAATAGACCATGACAATAAATAGATAAATTAATTAAACATCTAACCTAAGTATCTTTAAATATATTTCCAAATGAAACTAGGCTTTGGAAAAAATACAGAATACTAGATACAGGGAGATGAAGTTTATACTATTGGCAAAAATGGGAAAAAAAGACTCGAAGGAAGGAAGATGAAGGTTTTGAGGGGTGGCACAAGGAACTCGGCTGGTTGGACACAGGTTCCTAAAGCCTCTCCAACGTGAAGAAACACAGCACAGCTCTTGTTGTGAAAGCTTCATTTTTGCCTTTTTTTCCTTTTTTTTCACTTTTTCAGGAGTGTGGCTGGCAGGGAGGCGATCATTGCATAAGGGACAGCCCCGTGGTGCTCCAGGGGCTGCCTCAGAGCGGCGGAACGAAGAGAAAAGCTGAAAAAACTCGGGAATTTGGGGCTGGGCAGGAGAGGGACGAGGGGGGCATCGCCCCGCTCCCCCCGCAGCGAAAATGGTCCAGCCCAGGTAAGCGCTCCACCCTCGCCCCCCTCTGGGAAAAAATGGACTATTCCGAGGCGCGCCCCCCGCTCCCGCCGCGGGCACATGGAGCGGCCCGGCCCGGCCGCGTCCCCCGCGCGAGGCGGGAATGAGCGCGCCCACACGCACCGCCCCCCCCCCCCAGGTGCGCGGGAATGGCCGCGCCCTCCCCCGCGCCGAGGGGTGAATGGAGCGGCGCAAGCCCCGCCCCTTTCCGAAAAGGTGCTGTGGGGGGGGTTCGGAATGGACCGGCCCGGCCGAACCCGCCTGACCCGGACGCGGCCGCCGGGCGCCCCGTGGAGGGCGGCGCGGGCCGCGCTCAGGGCCCGGATGGGGAACGCGGGGCGCGGCTGAGCGGCCGCTCTTCCGTCGCGCCGCGCCCGCGCTTCTCCCTCCCTTCCTCCCTTCCTCCCTCCCTTCCGCGGCGGCCCCGCGCCCTCCGAGGCTTCACCGCCAGCGGCCCCGCGGCGCGGCCGCCCCTCAGCGCGGCCGCCGCCCGCCCTCACCAGGGTCTGGAGATTGTTAACCGCCGGCTCCATGTTGAATAGTTGACATTCCTCAGGCGGCGGCGCGGAGATCCCCACCCCCCGCGCCGCGGCCGGGAGAGTCGGCGGCGCCCATTGGCCAGCTGTCACTGCCGCGCGCCTCCCATTGGCTGGCTGCTCGCGGAGCGCGCTCGCTATTGGCCCGCGGGGAATGTAAACCCGCTCCGAGGTACGGCCGAGCCCATTGGCCCGGAGTGGGCTCCGGCTGTGATTGGCCGGGGCGGGGCGCGCGGCGCTGGCGGGAAGCGGCGCGGGCCGGTCCGCTGCGGCCCTGAGGGGGCGGCGGCGCCGCTCCCCCTCCCCGCTTCTCTCCCGGTTGCACCGGCGGCGGGGCCGCTCCTCGCCCGGTTCACTCCTCCAGCCTTCCCCAGCCGATTGGCGGCACCGAACGCGCTCGCCCAATGGCGGCGCCGCTCGCCTCAGCGCGGCCGGGCCGGGGCAGCGCCGGCCCCTCTCCCGTGGAGCGCGGGCGCGCCTCAGAGCGGCGGCCAATCAGCGCGCGGCTTACATGCGCCGCGTGGGGGGGCCGGCAGAGAGCGGCGCTGCTATTGGCTGGGCGCGGCGCGGGGAGCGGTTTGAATCGGCGGCGGCGGCGGCGGGCGCGGAGCGCGGCCGCGGGGACGGGGCGGCCCCGGGACACCCCCGGAACACCCCCGGGACACCCCCATAGGTGTGTGCAGGTGTGTGTGAGGGAGACAAAGAAATCCCCGCTCTCGGTGCGGCGTCCCGGGTGAGCGGGGCTGGGGTGTCACCGATCACCGGTCAGGGACCGGCCCGTGCCGCCCTCAGCATCCTTCTGTAGCTTCAGTATGTCTTTTGTCACCGCTTTCCCCGAATTCAGTGCTTATCACGTCAGGTTAATGAAAAACTGAACATCCGTTTATATTTCTTGTGCTTACGTAGTTGTAAAGTTTCTATTTAATTTATAACATTTCTAATTACTTTCTTGTTTATCTTTGTTTATGATATTTATAATATATTTTTGTGTGTATTTATATAATTCATATTTTTATTATATTTATCAATGCTATCTATCTACAATGCAAATAGAAAAGGGGAAGAAAAGCCCATATAAAACGGTGCTTTCTGTGTACAAACACATCCCATGGATCATATGAAATTAAGGATATATTTTCTATCACTGATCCATAATAATTCCACCAAGGTAGCTGTGAGTAACCTCTGACTGGATTTCTGAGGTGCAGCCTGTGCTATTCTCTTTGGTGGCAGCTCTGTCCCAATGTATAATTTGCTTTATCTCTATACATCCATTTGAAATGTGTTTTTTTTCCCCAGTAATGGCAAGGTATAAGAAATGCAAACGAAAACGAAGAGCCCGAGCAAAATTTCGACTGGAAAAGAAGAGAAATGCTGCAACCCCCCAGGGCTCAGTTTGTCCCTCTCCACGGTAAGAGGCTCTGCTTGAATTTTGCCTTTCTCTCCATCCCTGGATTTGCTGTTTGCTCCCAATGGCTCATGGAAAAAGGGCAAAGATTTGTGCCAAGTACATGGCATTCCATGATATCTTTTGGTGTTATTCAGTGGAAGGTTGGGCATGATGACCCTGGAGATCTTTTCCAACCTTAGTGTTTCTGTGATTAATAACCAGGAAAAGCAACTTGAATAAAAAAGTATTTCCAATAGGATTCCCCCCACCACCACCCTTTATTGAAATGTATCTTGGCCTTTCCAGGTTTCTGTGATCACATTTGCTCTGTTGTTACCTGCTGGTACTTGCTTGTAATTTCCACATGATTGGTCACAGTTAACTTTTTTAAAGGCTGAGATGATAAATAAAATTCTGGCTTTGTTCTGTTGCAGGTCACCAGCTCATCTCTCTCTGAACTCATCACCAGTCCCAAGCTGCTCCCGCTGGCCTTTAGCCTTGCCCAGTGTGAAAAGTGTGCTCAGACCCCTGACAACAGCAGCATCATTTCTGTATTGGTGGTGCCAGAGCAGGGTTGCACAGGTATATCCTTTCTTTGATATTAGATTTTTCTGTTTTAAACACAGATTAACACTATTTACTGAGTTGCAAATATTTTGCTCTACCAATTAATTTTGTTCTGTTAGTACCCCTCCTAAAAATCAGATTGATCTTCAGAAACATCTGAAGGAAATCAACACACAATCTGCTTTCTTTTTATGCTTAGAGCTTTCGGGTGGTTAAAGACACCATATTTCCATCACAAGTCTACTTAAGGGAACTAAATATGTTCAGGGAGAAGCTGGAGAAGTTGGAAAGTGAATTTTCCAAGCTACAAGGAGCACTCCAGGTCAGTGTCAGTCCAGCTGGGGCAGGGTGACGTTTGTCTGTGTGGGGATAAGGAATTGTGCTCAGTGCAGATCCACTGAGCAGCTCCTCAGGGGCATTCTCTGCACTCAGAGCTACAGAACTGCTGCTACCTCACAGCAGGAGGGACCTGTTTATATCTTTACAGCTCAGCCTTAGCCAGCACCTTTGTTCCCTAAAATCCCAGCTACTTTTGCTGGTGGATTTAATGTTCTCTTTATTTATTTCTGTCGCTTTCAGATGAATGGAGTGGCAGCTTTGTCTTCAGAAAGTTCTCTTTGCCAAAGGTGTCACAAGCCAGTCTTGGGTGCTCCTGTAGGGACACAGATGGATCCTCCACCCTCAGCATCCATGCCTGTTTCCATCCCCCCTCCTCCTCCTCTTCCTCCTCCTCCTCCTCCTCCACCACCACCGCTGCCTCCACCAAAACTGCCTCCAGCACCTCTCCTCCTCCTCCGAGGCACAACCTCTAAACTGGTAGGGAATCAGAAGGTTCCTTTATTTTTTATTTTGTGCCTGAGTTCTTTTTGGACCTGGATTCATCAGCACATCACTCTTTGTGAGTGCTCAGTATCACTTTCCCTTTCTAATGTCCCTTCCAAACCCCTTTGCTTTCAGGCACCACCAGTGAAAAAGGATGGGCCCATGCACATCACCCTCAAAGACCTCCTGAATGTTAAACTGAAGAAGACAAACAGCAACCTGAGAATGGACAAGGTAAACTGGAGGATGAATCAAGGGAAAATCCACCCTGGAACTGCTGGTATTTCCCGCCTTAGTTTTATTTTTTTTTTCAATAAATTGATTCTCATCCAAAAACCCAGTGATCAGTTTCAAGTCACCATTCGAATTCTGCACCTGGGCTTTGGAAGGGAAGAAGCAAAGTGACAGACTCCAATCTCCCCTGGCACTCAGGACAGCTCGAATTTTACATTAAGGCCATGGAGTTTTCATGCAGCTTTGTGTGTTATCAGTAGTTTTTTTACTCCTCTTGGCCAGCTGGAACTTTGTTTGCATAAAAAAACCCCTCTTGTTTAGGATTTTTTTTTGTTTTTCCTTAATAAATCTATTTTTATTCAAGGCACGTTCAAATCTTAATAATTTAAAAAAGCATAAAAGCCATAAACCACAGAAATCTTTCAGCTTTATTAAATATTAAATGGATTTCAGGGTAGTGAGACCTTCTGAGGTTTTATTTGGGGTAACATTTCTTTTCTTGCTGTAGGAACAATCACCAGTGAAGCCACGCAGGGCATTAATTACAGTCACAGATCTACAGAGTGTTAGCCTGAGACCTAAATCCAAGCCATCACCTCATGCTACAAAATCATTAATGTAAGATGCTTTCTTCCTTGATTAGATAGTATATTTTTCTGTTTTAAACAGTGATCAAGGTTTTTTACTGAGTGGGAAACATTTCATTGTACCAATTTCTTTTCTTCTCTTAGTACCTCCCCTAAAAATCAGATTGATCTTCGGAAGCATCTGAAGAAAGTCGATATACAAAGGTCTGTTCCTTTCTATTCTCTTGAATTCTGTTTTTATAATCTAGAAAAACTAGAGAACCAATGAAACTAATCATAATTGCCCTTCCAGAAGTCCTGGTGGCACTCCTCTGAATAGTAAAGAAAACACTGAATGTGGCTCTGGGCTGACCCCAATCATGACACAGGCACTGCGGCGCAAATTTCAGGCAAGTCACTCTGTCCCTCTCCTTAGAATCATAAAGTGGCTTTAAAATCACATAATTCCCTACTGGTTTAAGTACACTGCAGAATGGACATGCCATGGCAGGTTATTTGACAATCCCAAGAGGAAAAACTGCTTTTTTGGTGGTCAGGGGGGTGATTCAATGCAACTTTAAAAGTCATAGTTTGCAGAAGAACCAAATGTGAGGGTTAATAGCATCTTTTATTTTACTGCTTTGGTGTGTCTGTTGTAAGGTGCTAGCCAAGAATTGCAGTTTTATCTCAGTGATAATGAGCTCAGATCTCCAAGTTCTGACCCTTCCCTTCTTTTGACAGATGGCTCACCCGAAGAGTCCTTCGCCTGCACGGCTGAGTGCTGCAAACAGCTTTGATGAAAAGTAAAAAGGAAAGTAGGTTTATGGAACAATTTTCCATTTGTGGTCAGGAAGCCACTTGAATCCCATTTTTATTACACTCAGGCACATGTATTTGTAAGTAAATGTAGTGCACAGGAAAACGGGGCATTATGAAACCCTGTAAAGCAGATTGTGCTTTTTATCTCTCTCTAATGTCTCTCAATTTGGTTGCATCTTCATTCACAATAGAAAAAAAAAAAAGGGAAATTTCCCAAGTCCTTTGACACATGGGTGCTGCTGAAGCAGGAACTATTATATTCCTAGCACTGGTGCTGCTTGTCATACAAATATGTGTTTGCTGAAATTCAGTATTTTTATATCTTTTTCTAACAAGAAAATACTTTGATGGTATTTGTACAGTTTCAAAGAAAAACAACAGTTTAATGCACTAACGTTATTAAAGTGGAAAGCTGCAAGCTTCAACGAACAGTTCGAGTCTGTGGCTACAGATGTGAGAGACCCTCGCGCTGTGTATCGCTGCTGTGTGATCGCTATTAAAAGGCTGCACTGCTTATCTCTAACATGTTCTGCTGCCCTGCCGCAGCTCTGTCCTGCAGGGCAGCGTGTGGGGCTCTGCCCCTCAGTGGGATGGTACAAACATTAAATACCAGAAACTATGTGTACTATATTTACAATAATGTGCCAATATCTATCATCTACGTTGAACAGCGT